GGTGAGGTGGGGAGGGGGGGAACAAAAACAAACTTGTAGCCAATATGTAAAAACAATAAAAAACATAAAAACAACAAAGTTGCTATAGTTCCTATATGCACAGCAGTATTAGTTCGCCGGTGACGAAACGTGTATACAAGTGTACAGATATTTTTCAAGCAATGGAAGGATAAAAAAGGTAAGAACAGTACAATCATTAAATAACAAAGTTGCTACACTTTCCTATATGTACAGCAGAGCTTTATTAGCATGCATGGCTGGCAGGTAAGTAGCCCTCTGCTTGCTGGGAAGGTGATCTGCTCAGGGTTAGCTGCTTGCCACTTACTTCTCATCCACATGCAGGCTGGGAGGACACTTGATGGCCAGCCACGTCTTCCAGGAGATATGTTTGACTTTATAAACCTGCCCAAAGCCTCCAGATCCGATCTTCTCCCAGCCACAGAACTCCCTGGAGTCAAAGGTCCTGAGCAGCCCCATGTCCCATGGGGAAGCGCCCTCCTTGTCCATGGTGCTGCAGGCTGCGTCCTCTCCTCTCCCCCTCTCCAGTAGATCTGTTTGCTGTCTGCAGATCCCTGCCCAGGTAATTAAGGTGTGTTCTGTGCCCAGGAGCTGACATCATTTCCTGACACTGCACCTTGTACTCTGTTAGGACAGGCGCAGCTTTCAAGGGGAGCGTTGCTGCCATCTAGTGGCCAGAAATGCTAGCTGCAGTATCAGGTGGAGGATGGCACATTCTGTTTACAAATATGTTGTGCATTGTATCAATATTTATCAAACAATGAAAGAAACAATGAAATATAAAACCATACACCTTATGCATTGTAGTAACAAAAAAAACATAGCAAAGATTTTTTTATTCATTCCCCTGTGAGTGCATTGAAGACGGTCTTGTGAACAAAAAAAAAAATGAATTGTGCAATCACAACACACAAAAAAGTGCACAAGGGTGCTTTTGGTCCTCCTCCGAAGAGGAAGAGCCTCGAAATCCCAGAACTCCCCAGGGCGCAAGGCTCCTGACGGGCAAGGCACCCAAGTCCACTTAGTCGAAACCAGATGGACCCCAATCCTTAGGTACCTACCAAAGCAGGTCCTCCAAGTACTAGGTGGGGGCTCTCCCAGAGAGACACCTGGGTAAAGGTAGATAAGAAAACTCATAGAGGCCACAGAACCTCCCCCCTAATATCAGGGTGGGCCCCGAAGGTACCCACACCCTCCATCTTCTGTGGGGTCAAAGTGCTCATGCAATAAATAAGTGCTCAAAATAAATAAGTGCCAGTGCTAAGACATGGCAGGCCTTCTGGCCTAGATAAAAAAAAATTGGTCCAGGCTAGCGAAAAGACCTTTCCAAGAAACGTAGTGCAGAAAAAGCACTGCTAAACAACATTGATAGGGGAATCTGCACTGCTGGCTATTGTATTCAGTCAGCCCTTGATACTCACAGCTGCCTGAATACCGTGCACAAGTGGACATTAGAGCAAGACGCTGTTGCAAAGTATGTAAGTATTGTGGCGGTCTCAATGGCAATAAGTAATATTTTAGTTATCATAGAATAGAAATCGGTGAGCAGAGTCAGCCCTTGGCTTCTTATCTCTTGGATACTTAGGGGTCTATTTATAAATAATTTGCATGGCCCTTCACCCCCTGCAAATCCCTGTGAATGTTTGTTTTGTGCAAATAGAGGCAAAAATGAAGGTTCTAGGTGGAATGAGTCTTTAAAAGCCATCAGGGTAGCCCTAACCTTTGCAAAGAGTGCTGAGAGTGAACAGATTATTATTGTTCCCTGGTTATGGCACAATAATGTAAAGGGACAATGAAAAATAGCTTTCACTAAACCAGATTCAGAGAGGAGATCATGTGATTTTGTTAACAGCTGCACCTTTAAAAGGGAAAAGAAAACGTATACAAAACATTATAATGAATATTGTCGCTGTCACTGCAGCTTTTCACACTAAGTTGTGTACGGGGATTGGTGTGCGACTTCCTATCACAAAGAGGTGACAACGGATTGTCAAAGTGTACATCCAAGCTTGACACCATTGTCACCAGATCCTGCCAGAAGAGTTAAAGTGACACTAAATCTTAAAAAATATATTTTTAGGATTAAGTTAAATCTTAAAAATACATTCAGGCACCCCAACTATTAACAGAATACCGATACCGGAAGTCCCATTAAGGAAGCGAGGCAGCGTGTAATGACTCACCACCTGGCTTCCTGCTGAGCAGGGAAGCCGTCCCCATGCTTCTCGACATTATGTGACGAGTAAGCATGGAGCCGGCTTTCTGTCCAATCAGTAAGCCGGGCGCCGTGTAATGACGCGCCACCCGGCTTCCTGATTGGCCAGGAAGCCGGCTCCATGCTCCCTTGTCATGAGGTAACAAGGGAGCTTGAAGCCGGCGTCCCGGCCAATCAGAAAGCTGGGCAGCGTGTAATGACGCTCTGCCCGGCTTCCTGATACAGGAAGTATCGGGCTAGGCATCGGAGCATTTGGGTGAGTACGAGTACTCACCCAAATATTTGGCATCGGCACCGATACTAGTATCGGTATCGCTGCATCCCTGCAAATTAGTAAATTAAAAGTGAGAATGTAGTCTATGGTGGTTTTTTCATTTTCACCCTTAGATTGACTTCTATTTATATAGGGAACCCTTTCCCTGTTCACCTGTCTCCATAGCTGCCGGTGACTTAGAAGGGGACTGCAGCGTGTTTTGTGAAAATGAAAGTTTATCGTGAGTGACGTCACTGGCAGTCTGTACGATTCAGCCATTAAAGACGTTTCAGTCCTACAGACTTAAAGAAGGCCGCCCCCACTATTAAGCTGCACATTTCATCCTAATATTTGTCTAGTAATCTGTGGAGGAGAATGGAATACAATGGGAAAGGCCTTGGATAGTAGGAATGTATCACTATGGAATGAAGGAGCCTTGGATAGTAGGAATGTATCACTATGGAATGAAGGAGCTCGGGTATTGTCAAAGATGTGAAGAGATATGCAGAGGACGCAGAGCGGCGGAGGGCTGGTCAGAGGGAGGATATGACAATGGGATTACAGATAGTAAGAGCAGTAAAAGTGATGAGGTGACCGTCCGGCCTACTCATCACATCAAAGCCTAGAACAGTGTGTAAACAACCCATGAAGAGGATAACGAGTCTGACCGCAGGCCTGCCAGCCAGTGACATGTATTTGATAGATCCTGTACACAGGTCACACCGGGCCTTTGTTTACCAGTCCTCCTCAACACCTCAGCCAGTGACCAGGTCAACAAACTGGACACTGATCGGTCGCCATGCTCCCATGTTGTTGTGTGCCTGCTGCAAATACTAATCAATAATCCGAGTCATGGTACCACATCCCCAAAACGGTTCAGTTTAAAGACATTCCAGAAAGAAGTAGGACTTTTAAGGTACCAGTACATACAGGTAAGTCTAAAAAAAAAAGATTTGAATCCTCCCCCACTTATGTAACATATAAGTGGTCTTTCCTACGTGGTGCCGCACACATGCGCCATGTGTTTCTGCTGGAAGCACGCTCAATCGCGCACCAGCAGCACCGAGATGTCGCTGACAGATCCTGGTATCAAACTAACAATCAGGACTCAGGACTCGGAAGGACCGGCTTCTGATCATGGAAGCGCTGTGATAGCCAGTCACAGTGATCACAGGTTATAGCTCCCTGCCCTATACGGCTTGTCCTCTGTGGGATGAAGATGATACATTGTATATTCCCTTCCTCTAGAAATAATATAAATCAGGGCTTGGTCTAGGTTAGCGTTAGTTTCAGTGCTAGTGTCAGGGTCAGTGTTAGTGCTAAGATCAGTATTAGGGTAGGTGATAATGTTAGTGTCATGGTTAATGTCAGTGTTAGGGTCATGGTCAGTGTTAGGGTCGGCATTAGTGTTAGGATTGGTGTTATTGTTAATGGCTTCCAGCCACCCAAAGGATAAAATTCTCAATATATTAACAACCTCTTACAAAGCCATCCACAACTCTGCCCCCGGCTTTATCTCAAACCTTGTCTCAAAGTATCACCCTAACCATCCCCTCCGCTCTTCCAAAGGCCTCTGGGTTTCCAGCTCCCTCGTCAACTCCTCCAATGTTCACCTCCAGGACTTCTCTAGAGTCTCCCCCATCCTCTGGAAATCTTTACCCCAACCTGTCCAACTACCTCCTACTCTGACTGGCTTTAGGCGATCCCTTAAGACTCATCTCTTCAGGGAAGCCTATCCCACCTCAACCTAACCACTCAACCATTCATCCCCACACAACTACCTCCTCATGTATCACTTGCCCCTCCCTTTTAGATTGTAAGCCCTCAGGGTCAGGGCCCTCCTTACCATCATCTCTTGAATTGCATTGTGATTGTAATGTCTTCCTTATATTGTAAAGCGCTGTGCAAACTGTTGGCGCTATATAAATCCTGTATAATAATAATAACTAATAATTATTGTCACTTTATTTTAGGTAGGATTAAAAAAAAAGAGTTTTTATTTAGTGTCAGTGTGTTTAGGTTGTATAAAACAGAGCAAAATACGCACTTCCTGTTAGACATGTATGCAGTGGAAAAATTAGATTCGGGTCTCGGATTTGGACGAAATCCGAATTTTCGTTAGTTTCGGATGAGTTTACGAATATTCGTTGCGTGTACCACAGAAACCCATATACATATATTATTACTAAAGCTGAGGCTTCCAGACCCGAACGGCATTCGGGAGCTCTGGTATGCTATTCGGAAATTTGGACTCCATTCGGGTCTTGGAGCCTCAGTTTTAGTATTATGTATATATAAGTAGTATTCTATAATAGGAACGAATATTCGTAGCGACAACACTGTGACCCAAATATACATAAAACTAAACCCGAGGCTCCCAGACCCGAATGGCATTCAGGAGCAATTCGAAAATTCGGATTCAGACCCAATCGGATGCATTAAACTGAAAAAAAAAAATCTGATTGGCCAGAAAAGTCACATGTCCGATTCAATTTCATTTTTGAACGAAATACGCACAGGATCTGAAATTCGGAAAGGGAAATTCGGACGCATTTGGATGCATTGGGATTCAGAAATTCAGATTTGTCTGAATTTCAGAAAAACTTTTACGAATTTTGATTCGGAACGAAACGAATCGCACATGTCTACTTCCTGTCCTAGGATGACAGGGCTCACTCTGCTATATCAGGACAACACAAACAGGACAGGATTATAGGATTCCATCTCCTATTCTTCATAGCATAGAGGGGTGTAGTTCTGTAGTCCAACAAACAGCACAGGCGGTGCGCACAGGAAGTTATCAGCTCACTGGACTTCTGGCAACAGGTATTATTTCATACGTATCAAACAGATATAACAAAACATTTTCAATGGTATATTTAACAAACCACAATGGAGTAAATAAGAGAAGTTTATTGTTGGGGTTACATGCACTTTAATCATTTCTTGTTATAAAGCCTGAGGTGAGTAGTGGGGGGGTGGGGGGGGGACCCCGGTGAAAGTCCTATCAGTAATAGACTGACTTCTAAAAGGGCAAAATATCCTTCTGCAGATCTGATAATCTTATCAATGTGACGCACAAA